GGAAGGACTTTGTACATAAAGTGACCACACTTTAAACATATTTCACACACTTTTTCATGTTTTTACTAGTTTCACCATTCAGGCACTTCAAAGTAGCCAAAAACTGGAACCTTATTGTCGTATTCTCATTTTCATAAAATATCTTGGTTTTCCAGTTTTAATGCAAAGTCACTGAAATGTAGCAGTTCACGTCCAGTGAATAATCTGAAATGGTACAAATGTAAACGGTAAACTGCACTGTGTTTAAAAAAAAAAAAGGAAACATAATGTAAATTTTGGAGTTATAAAAATGGCCTTTTCAGGGACAAAAGTCATTGCTTAAGAACTTACAGCTATTCTGTAACAGCAGATGTAATTTAAGCTTTGAAAGTTCATGCAAATAATCCAGGTGTCCCAAAATTTGCTGTTTACTTACAATTCCACTGAGTTACTGCGCTGTCTAAGGGAGGATTTGGACAATATTGCATATGTATTTCCAGAGCGACTTACAAAAAATGCTTTGTCTATCTAGGGAAAATATCTTTGCTAGTTACAAATAGGTTAGAGAGAAAGCCAGTCCTGAGCTCAGATACTGCTAGAAACAAAAGCCCAGGTTGATACCCAGAGAAAAAGGAACAGAGTTAAACACAGAGCAGTGCAATACAATATAATACATTTCAATAAGTGCAGTGCAATGCATTACAATGAATAATTAACTCAGTGCTCAGGGAGTTTGTTCCACCACCTGGGTGCCAGCAAGAAGAAGAGTCTTGATGCATGTCTTTCACGCGTCTTGAAGGATGGTGGGTCAAGCCGAGCTGTACTTGAAGCACGAATTGCTCAAGGTACAGTTCGAGTTTTGACCATTGCCATCAGGGAGGGAGGGGCTGGTCCATTTTTGGCTTTGTAGGCATCAGGGCTTTAAATCTGATGTGTGCAGCTACAGGAAGCCAGTGAAGGGAGCGCAGCAGTGGGGTGACTGGCTGAACTCAGGAAGATTGTAGACGAGCCATGCTGCTGCATTCTGGATGAGTTGCAGAGGCTTGATGGCCCCATTGGAAGACCAGCCAAGAGCGAATTGTGGATGTTGTACAGGAGAAACCTGCATGACCGAGTTAGGTTCGCGATATGAGCTGAGAACGCTAACTGGCCATCCAGGATCACACCAAGACTTCTTACATCTTCAGATGGAACAATCAGAGAGTTCTTGAATGAGATGGTAAGATCATGATGAGGACCTGTAGTTGCAGGGATGAATAGCAGCTCAGTCTTGCTAGGATTGAGCTTCAGGTGGTGAGCTGCCATCCATGAAGAGATGTTAGTCAGACATGCCAAGATGCGACTGTAAACCTGAGTGTCAAAAGGTGGGAAGGAAAGCATTAGTTGGGTGTCATCAGCATAGCAGTGATATTCCAACCCTTAAAAATGCACCTCAGTCCTTTAGAGCAGCTGCAGGTAAAGCTGGGTTGTCTGTGAAAACAGTTTCCTAAAGCATCAAAAGGCTCTTTGGAAACTAGAGGAAAATGACAGGAAGAGGTCTGGCGGAGCCAAATCCATAACAGCTTAAGAAGACCAGTTTCTGAGAGTCAACTGCTTGTGTGACCAATAATATCTCTCTGCAGAGTCTCAGAGCCACAGTTTCATACTGGCAGTTTCATGTCAGCAGTTTCAGGCCAGTGGTATTCAATGCATGTGCCAACACTTGTTTTGGTTTTGAGTGTTAGGCTAATCAACATTGCAGTCGTTTTAGGTTGGTTTCTAATAAATTTCTGATAAATGTGCGTTGGGCTAACATTATTATTATTATTTTTTTTTACAAAAAAAACTGTTGTTTTTTGAACATGTTCCTGCTGAAAAATACATAGTTGATGGTTTTGTAATGTGTTTTGGTTTTTTAAATGGATTGATATCACAATGTAAAGGATCCTAATGGTTCAACAGGTGAACAAGGGCTGATTCTAAATGCATTTTGTGAGTTCAGACCATGCCTTCAACATGTGGTGGTTGTATGTGGGAAGACTGATTGAGGGAGGGGGGAGAACTCTGAGAACTTGAGCTGGAGTTCTGGGTGGCTTCTGCCTGTAGTTAGAAGGCCAGATCCCCCCTCATAGCTGATGCAGGACTGAGGAACAGGGAGGAGATGGGGTGGCGGTGGGGATTGCGAACATTTCATGTCAGGAATGAAAGGTGAGGATGTGAACTTATAGGGCGTTAGATTGAAAAAAGGAGGGGTTTCAGCCATGCTCCTCCCCCAAAACCTCAGTTATATCATAGCTACATTTGATGGTTTCCTAGTCGGATATAAAGGTGTTCTACAGGAAACTAGTGGTCTCCATTTGAAACCCATTCAGATATGGGTTTTAAAATTTTTTTTGTTCACCTGTAAAGTTACCATTTTGGAGATGTGTCCCGATGTGAATATGTCTAGTCACTGTCGCAACACATCTCCAAAATGTCATCTGTTGGGGGGAAAAAACATAAAATGTGGTTTGTGGAAAAGTTATAGTATAATTTCTATTTTATGTTTTTTCCAATATGTTAAACTCAGCACAACAAAAGAGTTTGAGCACTAAAATCAAAGAAAAATGTCATTTTATAAAGGATGACATTCAATGTTGTTCAGCAACTCTGAGCACTGTTTAGTTTCCTAGTGCTGCACATTACTGTGTTTAATCGAACTCAGAATCATCACACAAATCCGCAGTAAAAGACACTTGGCTTGAAATTTACACAATGAAAGACAGTAATTCAGTCATCTCACCGTGGGGGTCCTGGCCATTGAAGAACAGGGGGTTAACAAAGTATGCAGAGAAACAGATGGACCACAGTCTGTAATTGTAGAACTACAAGGTTCACCCTTAATGATAAACAGAGTTGATAAAATGGACAGTGAATGTAGAAACAACGAGGTGTTTCTACATTATTATGGCTGATTGGTGTGTATACATAACTTAGTCTTCTACTGAAAAACATGTATGCTTGTGGTGCTGTATGCAGTATACATGATATGTAGCCAATCGAGAAGCTTGGGCATGTGTTGTGTGGTTACTGTTGCCTTTACAGAATGTTCTAAGACTTCACAGACATTTGCATAGCTTTTAATTTTTCCATTGTATTGAAGCGCACATCTACTGACTCATATTTCTGCAGTAGTACATAAGGGGATGAAGTTACTTTTATAGATCAGTCAAGTTCAATCAAATTTTGATATGAGTCAGCAGCGTATGACTGATCCACTCACTGCAAAAAATATTTGGGGAAGTGAAATCTCATCTGAAATCTTCAGTGTAGTCTGTTTAATAGGTCTAAATATCTAATGTTTCTTGTTATGAGAGTGTTGTGAGAATATTCCAAGATTATTTTACTTTTCTGTGGATGTTTTTTACTTGTTGAAATCACTTGATCTAGAGAAATTATATTGTTGCTGTCCAAAGAGAAACATAAAAAACACGTTCTTAACTCTTAATGTAAGTTAATGTAAAGAGGTGTATTTTTGTTTCTGTTCTACTGGTCCATTCATCATGAAACTATCTCCCAATGTAAAGGACAGGTGTCATGTTCAAATGATGCAGGAAAATAAATCAACAAAACATAGAGATGCTTTTTATTTGGACAGCGACACTGTGCATTATGTCTTGAAACAAGCAAAATTATCTGCCAAATAAAATAATCTAATTATTTCTCTAATTAAAATGACTTAAAACAAGGACAGACATCTAAAAATGAGCTGAGTAATCTTATAATATTCTTACATTATTTTCATAATGAGATATATTAGATGTATTGGCTATATTAAAGATGTTTTCACTTGCTAAGACAGAACAGGACGTGGCTCAAATTGGCTGATCAGCTGAACTGGGTATCTTAGCTGTGGATTTCCGGCCCTGATGTGGTTTGAGGACCAGAGTTTAGTTTCAGCTCTTTCTTTTAACTTGCCCTCACCAACTATATATATATATATATATATACATACATATATATATATACATATAATATATATATATATAGAGAGAGAGAGAGAGAGAGAGAGAGAGAGAGAGAGAGAGCAGATAATTTGGGTGGTGGATCATTCTCAGCACTGCAGTAACACTGACGTGGTGGTGGTGTGTTAGTGTGTGTTGTGCTGGTCTGAGTGGATCAGACACAGCGGTGCTGCTGGAGTTTTTAAACACCTCAGTGTCACTGCTGGACTGAGAATATCACTTCCTGTGTGCTTCCTGTGTGCCAAGAACAACATTGTACATTTTCAGAAAATGTAGAAGTTCCCTATTTAAACACTAATGCAAACTGAGAAATGAGAAAAAACAAAGTGGTTTCTCACAGTTTTTTACTTTTCTTCTCCTCTGCCTCTGCCTTTCATCACTGACGACACAATTACTGACTCTGTTTAAACAGGCGTGCACCCGTGCACGCGCTCCACCTTCAGTCTGGCTGATATATGATATGTATATGATACAGGATATATGAGCTATAACCGGTTAAACATGCTGTTCTGAACGAGACGAGTGTCTCTTTTTCTGTTACGCACCGATGGGATTGTTTAAAAGAAAACAAGAGAATGAATTGTTAATTGTGGGAACAAAATAAGAAATCGTGACCACGAGTAAAAGAACACATGCGTACAAATTGCAATTAGTTTTTTTTTATTATTATTATTATTTTATTTTCACCCCCATCCCCTCCACAAAAATGAATATTACACCAAATGGCACACACACTTCTTCGCTTCCTTTTTCACCGATCCATAATTATTACGTGCCTTCACCCACCTTCTGAACTTCACCAGCCGTTTACATAAAAAAGGAGAAGAGGAAAAGAAAGAAAAACAGCCGCGCTGTTAATGTAGCCTGATGACGCCGGCGACGTCACTCCGGTTCTGTCCCGTACAGTAAATGGAACGTGAGCGAAGACGCGCTGTGGGTTCCCCCAGGGCGGGAAGAAGCGCTTACGTCAGAGAGAGAGATGGAGAGAGAGAATATAAGAGAGAGAGAGCAGAGGCACCAAAGCAGAGAAAGAGAGAGAGAGAGAGAGAGAGATCAGCACAATGACCACCACCGGGGTAAGAGACGCTGCTGCTGCTGCTGCTGCTGATTCGCTCTCAGTCTGTAACCGGGTCTTCCTTTCAAACGTTTCGCGAACGATGTCCGCATTAACGAAATTTCGGCAGAAGAAAATGCGAATGAAGTCGTGTTTCTATCCATGGCAGCTGTGTAAGAAACTGATGAAGACGTGGGCTCTCGAGACGAAGAAGGTAGAGCGATTTAACTCGGATTTCGCTTTAAGTGGAATTATCTTTACTGCCATTTGCTTTTATTATTATTATTATTATTATTATTATTATTATTATTATTATTAAAACAGTAAAATTAGTAAAAACAGAAGAAAGAAGATAATCACAGATAAAATGAACAAATAAATAGCAGAAAAGGGGATATATTAATAACGATTACAAGTAAAAAGCATAAGATGAAAGTATAACTGGTTAAACGCTGAAGTAAAGAAATTTGTTTTGAACTGTTTTTTAAACACTGACAGAAGGAGCCTGACGGATGTTTATTGTAATGTGTTCCAGATCTTTGGTGCATAAAGACAAAACGCTGCCTCTCCGCTCTTTTCAGCTTTCACAGGTTGAATATGGAGCTGGCAGCACTAGATGATCTTAAAGCTCGATTAGGAACATGAACTGTCAGCACTCAGAAATGTGTGAAGGTGCTCAACAATTAAAAGATTTAAAAACTAGTAAATGTTCACAGTCGATTCTAAAAGAGACAGGCAGCCAGTGGAGTGATGGTAGAACTGCTCTAATATGGTCGTGTTTTCTTGTCCGTGTTAATATTCTTCACTGTAAAACCTATTAAGTTCAGTAAACTTAAACGGTTTAAGGAAACTGATTTGACCATGAGTAATTCCCTGAACTCAATATGAACAACACATTTGTTTAATGTTGTATATACTGTAGTAAATTGAGTAAATCACTCCTTTTGATCTCAAAATGACTGAGTATTTTGGACTTATGTAATAATGGTACTAACTCAATACAATTAAGTCATTCTAACTTATATTTACTGCCTTTACACAACTCTAGCCATTCAAGTTCAGCTTAATCAGTTTCTTCCATTAAAAGCTAAACTAAGCTTTAATTTTAACAAATTTATACTGAATAGTAGAACATTTATGACTGTCTTAAACAGTTTAACTCAGTTCTGCTCTGGACCATCTCGCTCAATACTGACAGTTCAGCCCAGACTGCAAAAGTGGTCTGAAGTCTTCAGAACTACACTCAGCAGGTGGGGTCATGGCAGCTCAGCTTACTTGGCACTGATCTATAGTCAGCACTGACTGAGAGTAAATGAGCTCCCAAAATTTAAAAAACAAGTAAGCGCCTAAGGGAAGGTAGGCTGGGGAGAATGACTACACAGAGATGGTCGGTTAAACAAGGTGGAAAAACACGCTCAATATGCCTGCCACCAAGAGCCAATAGGAATGATGCAAGTTATACTCAAGGTTGCAGTAACTATCTCAACCATTCATTTTTGAGTTGGTTTGAATTTGTCTGATTAAATTAAATTTGTAGATTAGATTAAATTTGTAGTATTTAAGTTGTGTTAACTTAGGCAAAATACTCTTCAGTCTGTTGGACTTATGCAAATTAATTGACCTCCACAAACTTTACCTAACTAACTAAGGATTATACAAGACATAGTATGTATTACTAGGTTTGCATTAGTAAGTGTAACAGATGCAGATTCTTTCTTGTGTTCTGATGTTTAAAAGCGAACCAGTTGGGTTCTTCTGAAAATATACTGGCTTAAAAAAAACTGCATTTTATGTTGAGGTAGCCAAGTCTGTCTGCTAACTTTGCTCAGTCCAAAATATGTGGCACATTTAAATTCATACAATGTTTTTTTTTTTTATTTTTAAGCTACTTTTATGTTTACTTCAGTTACTATTTCATTGACACTTTTACATAAATCTGCTCTAAACATTCACGTGTGGTTATATTATGTGTGGTAATGTGGCTGCAGGTATATAGTACAGTGGCTTCAAAAAGTATTTGGACACTTTAACCATTCAACCATTGAATCACTGGTAAACTTGAACAAAGTTAGTTCTTTAGGTTATATCATAAAATGCTAAATGATATTTACTTCAAAGATCAGCCAAACCAGATTAAACTTCAACTTAACAAGATTGAGGACTGTATAAAAGATATAAAAGACTGGATGTCGAGTAACTTCCCCCTACTCATCTCAGATAAAACAGAGGCTCTTCTTCTTGGTCTCAAAAGCTGCTAGAAACAAACTGTGTAATTTAACGCTTAAATGTAACAGTTTCTCAATTGCAGTACATCTGTACAAAACCTTGGTGTGACGATAGATCCTGATCTGTCCTTCAATGCATATTAACAAATATTACTAGAACAGCCTTCCTGCATCAATAGTGCTAAATTAAGAAATGCATTATCTCTACAGGATGCAGAAAAGTTAGTTCATGCATTTATTACCTCAAGGCCAGGTTACTGTAATGCCTTGATGTCTGGATGTCCCAGCAAAAGCCTTAACAAGCTTCAGTTAGTCCAGAACGCTGCAGCCAGAGTCTCACAAGAACCAGAAAGTTTGACCATATCAGTCCAGTTTTATCAACCCTACACTGGTTGCCAGTTAAATTTCGCATTGATTACAAAATTCTTTTACTGACATATAAAGCTCTAAACGGACTCGCCCCTCAGTACCTGAGTGAACTTCTCTCTTATTATGAATCATCATGCCTACTGAGATGACAAGGTGCTGGCTTACTATTAGTAGGTAGAATCAATATCAGGGGGTAGACCCTTCTCATACAAAGCCCCCATCTCTGGAATAATCTTCCAGTCAGTGTTCGGGACTCAGACACAGCCTCAGTCTTTAAGTCAAGGCTAAAAACCCACTTGATTGGTCGAGCCTTTTGGTAATTAGTTTTTCCTGTTAGGTAAAAGGTGGAGATCTGGTGGTTCATGGTCATAGAGTATTATGGTAAACTGGGAGTGTTGGTGCTGTTGTCCCGCTGGTCTCACACTCTCACTCAGGTTTGTTGATGGTGGAGCGGAGGGGCGCTGACATCTCAGGGAGCCTCATGTCTCTGTTACCGTTCTGGTTTTTCCCTTTTAGTTTGGCTGTAATAACTCGACCTCCTGGAGTCTCTGCTGCTCACTGTATACTGTGATCAGTCGCTCTTTACAGAACTAACTCTGGATGTTTCTGTAAAGCTGCTTTGTGACAGCACTTGTTGTAAGAAACGCTACATGAATAAACTTTGACTTGACTTGACTTTACTTGACTTAACTCTTTTGCATGTGTTTGGCTTAATCACCTGAACACCTTTGTTTGTTTGTTTGTCCAGCTCCTGTTCGCAGCACTGCTCCTCCTGCTCCCCGTGTTTGTGAATGAAGTGAATGTGGTCTGTGATCACTGTCCTCCAGGCACTCATCTGCGAGTGAACTGCACAGACATATGCCACACAGAGTGTCGCCCCTGCAGCACAGGATTTTACACTGATTTCTGGAACTACATCCCCGAGTGCCTGCCCTGTGACCTGTGCGCCCTCAACCAGGAGGAGACACAGCCGTGCACACCCTCCCAGAACCGTGTGTGCCAGTGCAAGGAGGGATACAGGCTATCAGACTTCTGCAAGAAGCACACGGTGTGTCCAGCTGGACATGGGATCAAAAACAAAGGTACTTTCAAAACTCACCGCTCTTAATTCTGCCTTCCTAGTCTGTTCTACTATCACAGTCAAATCTACTGTAAAATTATAGTGTCACAGTCAAATCTACCATAACATTGTTCTGTCAGAGTCAAATCTACTGTACAGTTATACTGTCAATGAAATCTACTGTAAAATTCTGCTGTCACAATCAATTCTACAGTCAAAGCTTTTCTACTACTGTATTATTACTACTAAATTCTACTGTAAAATTACACTGTTGGTGAATTCTACTAGTCAGTTCCAGTTAAATTCTATTGCAAAGTCAGTTCTAATCTCAAAGCTAATTCTGCTGTGTTTAAATGTGTGTGTTGTGAGTTGAAATAGTTTTTTGCTCCTGATGGACCATTCTGTGTGCAGAAACCTCATACAAAGACACAGAGTGTAGTGGTCATGGTGTAGATGGAGCTGGGGGCAGCACACAGTGCACCCCACAAACAGCCTTGCATGTTGATGACTGGCATGACAACGTGTGTGTTACTTGCAACAGCATCACAACAGAAGGTAAGTAGACCACTGATTGGCAAAGCCCTGGAAACCTAAGCTTCAAGGAGCCTGTTCCAGTGTTGTTTAGTAGAATACCTTAGAGTTTAGAGTTCAAATTGAATACCTATATTAGTGCTAAACCTGTGTAAGTAAGGTGGTTTTGATGGTAGAGCAGCGTTAAGGCCAGTGCACTCTACTTAGCCCAAAGTTCTTTAGTTCTTTCGTTGAGTGATTTTCATTCTCTATTTTTAAATTGCTTTTCTCACGTCTGTTTGATTTTTGTCATAGCAGCTCGTGACTTTAGTAGTGACATTGTTAGCCGTGCTTCCAGTGCGGGTTTGATATGGTGGATGTTACTCAGGCTGTTTTGATTGTCACTGAGATGTTCTTGGTCTCCTTCAAGTGCAATGTTTAGGTGTAAAAGCCAGAATTTCATAACTCTACTATCTAGGGAGCAGTGTTGCTGTTTGAGATTCAGCCATAGTATTATATGGCTATAAGTCAAGGTATGACTTACAGATGTTGAACATTGCCCATTAATATTAATGTGGCTGTTTTTGTTACAGTTTCAGCCCTTTCCCTGCTTGTTTTATGTTAAAGAATGTTAAATATTGCACTTAAAAGAAAGTTGTATCCATCACATGTCTTTGTTTAACTTTGAAACATGAAATGACCATTGGAGTTATCTGCTTTGCCAAAAGACAAAATTTAAATGAAATTTTAAAAAATTATCTGTAATTTATTGAGTTATTTTTACTTAATTAACACAACCTGACAGCAATTTGATTAATATTACCTTGAATGCCTAATAAAATTTTACTATATGTTACAGAGATGTTTTTGGTCTCCTTCAGGCTGATTTAAGATTAATGTGATGTTTTTTGTCAACCTCAGACCGTTTTGACATTACAAAGATGTTTTTGGTCTTCTTCAGGCTGGTTTAATGTTACTAAGATGTTCTAGGTCTACTTTGAACTGGTTTGATATGTTAATGAGATGTTTTTGGTCTCCCTCAGGCTGGTTTAATATGTTACTGAGATATTTTTGGTCTATCACAGGCTGACCCACCCTCATCAAGCCTCTCCTCTGAGAGCTGTTCGCCCAGCAGAAACAGCTCCATCTGCAGTGCCTCTATTGCGTTCTTCAATTACACTGGAATGGCACAGATGATGTGGCATTGCAGCATTGGCTCAGTACGGCTTCAGAACAGCAGCTGACTGACCTCCCAGCCATTCTGATTAGGGCAAACCTGCACAGCCTGGCTGACAAAGTGGAGCAGAAAATTAAGATATTCCAAGAAGAAGCCAAGTAGCAACAACATGTAAATAATCTTTTTAATACCTCTGTATCTGATTGCAGCTTGGATGTCTGTAGCTACTTAGCTCCAGAGTTTTTACCCATCACTTAAAATTAAAGATGGGATGATGGCTCTCAGCACTTCCAAATCATATTTTTTTTAATTTTTGGCAGTTTTGGGCTGAAAATCTAAAATACTGACATTTCCAATGGCACTGATTCTTAAATTCATCATGTCTTGTTTGTCATAGTAATGGCTGTAGCAGTGTATGTGGACACTTTGAGTCTACTGCACTGTCTTTAAAGAACTCTGTGCCTGTTTTATTGTTATTTATTTTTGTTTCATTTAAATAATTTATAAATCTGTGTATATGTTTCATGTTTCAGATTTTATTTTATTTTTAAATTTGGTCACAGTATCAAGTTATATTTTAGAAGTTTAATTTCATTTGATCATTTTGTTCTGCACAGTATTAAATTAAATTTTCGTTTTTTTAAGCCTGTTGTGTTTGTGTTTTTTTTTTTTATTTGTTGACAACTGCCTCATGCAATATTATTACCTGTTTTTTTTCTGCAGCTCATTTCAGTTTTATTTTTTCAAGACATTTGCTGTTCTGATGGCTGAACAGAACAATCTAATAAGTTATAAAATAGGAGTGATGTACTGGGTGCCATGCTTCTACTTTAGTCTAATTCAAAGATTAATTTTAAGAGATTTTCTAAGATCCATTAAGAGCTGATCTTTATGATTTGTATGATAAAGTTTCTGGACACTGATTTAAATCCTTTTTAACGTTAAAACAAGCATTTATTGGAGAACCTTAACGACAACGTAATATGCATCTGTGTCTAAAACTGTCCTATTAAAAGTATACTCCACACTTTTCACACTAACCTGACACAGTTGTAACAATGTCAATTAGTGCAAACAATAATTTCAACAGTAATTTCCTGCACTGAAAACCTGGGGACTCTGGGCAGTTGCTGAATTCTGTTTTTGCAAAACACACACAGTTGTAAATGAAATATTTCATTTAAGCATCAATAAAGCATAACCATAAACGTGTGTCATTAATCACAGACATAAAATCCATTTGAATGGCCTCTTATGGCAGCCAAATAAACCTAAACTGTAAGGTAACATATAAAGCAGCTTTTCCACTGCTTGGTACTGGCTCAACACAATGCAACTGGACACACATTTTTTTGGTTTTCCTTTAGGCAAACCTGGTAACTGGTACTTTTTTGGTATCACCTCCATTGAGTTTTGAAGCAAGCTGTGCTGATACCAAAAGGTGATATGGAAAAACTGCAGAGTACTGACTGGTTAGCGTAGCCTCTTGCGTTGCCTTTGGGCAAACTTGCTGCCATCACCCTCATCTGAACAAAATTTGTTGGGCAAAATGTTTGCTGACCAGCTACATTGAGGGGGTACTATATCTGCAGTGGAAAACTGAAGTAGCTGGTACCAAAAGTGAGTAGAATTGAGTGTAGTCAAGTCTAGTTGATCCATACCATGCAGCATAAAAGCGCCATAAAATACTGTATATAGACCATTCTACCAAACTAGTTCAAAAGGTGAAAAAAATAGTCAAACAGTGAAAAAAAAATAAAAAACAACTAATTATTCACACCTTAGATGTTTACAAGAATCATGATTTGATTAATTTAAAACCAAGGCATTAATTGAGATGAAGCAATTAGCTAAATATATACAAAATCATCATTTACAGGGTACTTTCCTGGAAAACAGTCCATCTTCTAACCTAGTACAAAATGCAGTAGCACATGCTCTGCACCCTCTCTGGCATGCTGAAGCGTGGCTGCAATCACTGCTGTTCCTTCAAATGAACATTGCAAAGATCAACAGCTCTTTAGTGGCCTCATTAATTAGTACACTCTCCTCTTCCTCCGTGAACTCCAATGTCTTACCTAGTACCTCATTCTCTATCTGTCTTTCTGCTGTAAGTACTGTCAATTGCTCTCTTATTGCTGATTTTGTTACAGCTTCTAAAGCTTGCACCTACTCCCTTGATCTCCTGCCAACCATTTTAACTAAAGCCTGTCTACCCGCTCTGGTTCCCCATCTCACAATGCTTGTTAATCACTGCATCTTGCCCAGGTTCCTTATAGGTTCTTGGCCTATAAGCTAGCTGCAGTTACACAGATTCTCTATAAACCCGGCCGTGATCCAACTAATGTCCACCCAATTTCAAAGCTTCCATTCAAAATTCTTGAATGAGTTGTTATTCAACTGTAAGACCCCACTAAATACAAAGACGTTGAAGAACCCATGCAGTGTGATTCGTCACGTTTGTCTAAGAAGGAGAGGTTTTGACATATAAGAGAGAACCTGTGTTTGTATTGTGGCGCTGCTGGTCATGTACTCTGTGACTGCAGGACCCATCCACTTAAACGTTTGGCGCAGACCCTTGGAAAGCATGTGGAGAACACTCCACGTGCTAATGTGGTGAGTGTTCCCACAAAGGGGTTGGTTTCTAAGTCTTTTCAGTTACCGGCCATTGTCTGCTGTCATCAAGTCTCTCTTGTTGTTTCAGCCCTTATAGATTCTGGTGCTCAGAGAAACTTCATCCATTCTTGTCTCGTGGAACAACCGAAAACCCCATTAAGAGTGGCTGCCTTGGACATAGGCCCTGTAGGAGCTGGGACAATCACAAAGAAAACCCTCCACTTTACCTGCAGCTTCTGGGTTCTTCTTTGTCAAGAAAAAGGATGGAGGTCTGCGGACATGTATTGATTATTGGACTTAACCAATTACCAAATCATAACCTTATCCTCTTCCACTTATCCCCATAGCGCTAGAGCAGTTGAAGGGAGCTAAATACTTCACCAATCTAGACCTCAGAAGTGCCTACAACCTCATTAGGGTTAAACAGGGAGATGAATGGAAAACCACCCTTGTGACCACTAGGGGCACTATGAGTACTTAGTAATGCCTTTCGATCTCTCCAACGCCTGGTAACCCGAGAAAACTTACTTGGACAGAGCAGGCTGAGAAAGCTTTTCACACACTTAAAGAAGCATTTACCATAGCCCCTGTTTTAAAACATCCTGATCCTACTCAACCTTTCGTCGTAGAAGTAGATGCTTCAGAGACTGGGATGGGGCAGTTCTTTCCCAACGTTCTGGTGAGCCCGAAAAACTTCACCCTGTCACCTTCTACTCCCACAAACTCATGCCTACAGAGAAAAAACTATGGAATCGGAGATCATGAGTTGCTAGCTGGTAAAACTCACATTAGAAGAATGGAGGCACTAGTTAGAAGGTGCAACTCATCCATTTCTAGTATTAACAGACTATTAAAATCTTGAATATCTTTGCAGTGCTAAATGTCTCAACGCCCGCCAAGCTCAATGGTCCCTCTTTTTGACAATCAACTTTACATATCTGCTAAACCGAAGAGGCTCTAAATCTGAATAATCTTGAAAAATGTGTTAAAAATATCAAAAAGTGGATGACCAACAAGTTCCTTCTTCTTAATCGTAACAAAACTGAGGTCCTACTACTCGGACCCAAAGCAGAGAGATCTAATCTCTCCAGTTTTGAACTAAATTTAGATGGCCATACGGTCATTCCAAGCACGACTGTAAAAAATCTAGGCGTCATCTTTGATTCCAGTCTCTCTTTTAAAACACGTTTGCAACATTGTTAGAACCGCATTCTTTCACTTGCGTAACATACGTAATATTCTAGCCATAAATGATGCGAAAAACTTGTGCATGCATTTATAACCTCCAGGCTGGACTACTGTAACACCATTTTAGCTGGATGCTCCAATATGTTACTAAATAAGCTCCAACTGGTCCAGAATGCAGCTGCTAGAGTCCTTACAAGGACCAAAAAATTTGACCATATATTCCCAATCCTGTCGTCATTACACTGGCTACCTGTTAAATTCCATGTAGAGTATAAGATTCTTCTCTTAACGTATAAATCGTTAAATGGCCCCACAGTATCTTAGTAAATTAATTCAGTCATATGAACCCACACATACGCTCCGCTCACAAAATAACGGCCTGCTGACAGTTCCTAGAAGTAGACAAACCACAGCAGGGGGTCGAGCATTTTCCTACGTAGCCCCAAAATTGTGTAATCATCCCCCGACCTCTGTTCGGGACTCAGACACACTCTCTACATTTAAAACTAGACTCAGAACTGATCTGTTTGCCCAAGCATGTTGCTAATATCAACTGTTGCACTACTAACTCACTAATATCTCTCCATAAATGGACCTGTCCTGTTCATCAATCTCTCTCTCTCTCTCTCTCTCTCTCTCTCTCTCTCTCTCTCTCTCTCTCTCCCTCTCCCTCCCTTTATTTGAGCCCCTGAGTGACGTCTGCTTGAGTCGCCTCATGTGAGCCACCAGAGCTGCTAGAGTCACCAGAGCTCCATCTCTGTTGGCTGATCTGCACCTCACCTGCATGAACTGACCCTCCTGCTGCTGCATAAACTCAAACTATCTAATTAACCATTGCTCCACCTGTTTTTTTCCCGTGTTGTATTCTAATATTTTGTACTAACGCTGTTTGCTATCTGGTGTCGATCAGAGGAGGATGGTTTCCCCTTTTGAGTCTTGGTTCCTCCCAAGGTTTCTTCCTCTTGCTCTTAGGGAGTTTTTCCTTGCCACTGTCGTCATTGGTGACGCTCATGGGGGCTCGGACACGGATTTTTCTGTAAAGCTGCTTTGTGACAACCTGTAAAAAGCGCTACATAAATAAACTTTGACTTTGACTTTGTTGACCTCTCGTTAGTGTTACTATTAAGGCCGGGCTTGTAGGTTAGTTCAGTGCTAGTT